TTGATTATATACGACTTGTATACATCAAGGGAATGTAGAAGGACCAGCCAGGGATCATACACCACGAAAGTACATTACTATTTATCGATATGGCAAAGGTACTCCCTAGTTGCATTCTCACCTGAATTAATCACATCATTTGTGTAGAAACTAAGGACCCTTGCTTGTAATCTATGATTGCTAAGTGTATACGTTAGGGTTATATATAATTAAGATTCTACAGACTTAGGATTTGTGATTCCACTTTACTTCCTGATCCTTGTTTGGTTGTGGGCTTAGAGTAGAATCACATATTCGACTGTCTATTCAATCTTAATTACATACGACTTGTATACACCAAGCGATTATAGAAGGACCGGGCATGGATCATACCACGAAACTACATTACTATTTATCAAAGCCCTTGTAATATCAGTACAAACTAAATTTCAGGACGAAATTTCCTCTAACGGGGAGGTAATGTGACAACCCAAAATTTAGGGCTATTATTATAACCGCCAATCTATCAGTGAATCTCATGTTATATCCGAATTACTGAGTTTTAGTGTATCTTAAGAAGGACAAGTAATTTCATTCTAACTATAATACGATACTAGATGATATTGCACTTTCAAATGTACAACGAATCAAACCGCACAAACTGTAGCCTTAGGAATACGACTAAAAAAAACTGAAAATTCGTAAAAAGTCATTTTAAGCGAACCAATTATTATAATATTATACTACATGTTCCCCTATTTCCGAAAATATAAAGAATGTCCAAAACGGAGTTCGTATGCAAAAGTTACGACAGTTTTAAGAAAACAAACAGTAAAACACTGGTTTTCTTTAATCGCGCAAAACCGAATCGATCCGTTGAGGTATTTACGCTTTGCCGACAGGATTTCCGAGAGCGTTTTTGGACTCAGGTTATAGTCTATTATTTAATTTCACACTCGAAATAATTTTTACGAAAATATTTACAAAAGTTGCGAAAACGGACACCGCGAGCCGTTTTGACGCAAAACTTTAAACACAAATTCCCGGAGTTCCGTAACTCCAAAAATTAATCCGTTTGGGTTTCTGGAATCCTTGAATTACCCTCTTTCATAAGAAATTCTCGAAAAAGCAATCCGATGTCGGGGTCTCGATTCATCAGTTTATGAGTGTTTTGGATAAGTTAAGGGATTAAATTACTTTGTGGGACCCACATGCCTTGCACAAGAGTATATAGCCAGCTCTCAAGTCCTTCTTGCTTATCTCTTTGTCCATTCCCACGTGACCATGGCCATCCTCTCTCTCCTTCTCCACTTTGAGTGCACACTTGCATAATAGGGTACAAGGCATGGTGCTTGGTGCATGGAGTCACTCTTGCACGCTTACCCTTGCACTATAAATAAGATGTAGTAGGAGGTCACTTAACACACACAACATCAGCCAACATCTCCTCTCTCTAGTTCTTGATCTCTTTCTCTCTAAACTCTCTCTATCTCACTCTCGGGTACACCCAAGACCACCACCATTTCACCAACTAAACCCACCCAAACCCCTCTTTGATTGCTGCCCTCCCCACTATCTCTATCCCTCCCTTCGTTGATCATCAAAAAGAGGAGCAGCAAAGCTGCCAGACTTTCTCATCATCGCCATACCTCCACTGCCGCTGTAAAGCCACCACCACCCGCCACCTGTGTTGCTGTTGCTGCTTCGTAAGTCCTCTACCAAACTTCCCTTTTTATTCAATGGAAATGCTCTCATCGATCAAACCAGAAAGCAGAGGGACATTCGTTATATTTTTTTTTTGTGTTCTTGCATGCCGTCGACGGGAACACAGGAGGTTAATACCTCCTGTGTAAAGTCAAATTACATTGCAAACTTCATTTCAATTAAATGTTTTAAATCCTCATTTCACAAACATTTACAAATTAAGTCCTAAAGCACCAAACTTTCATTTTAAAATAAATAAAAACCCCCCTCCATGGATATTCATTACAAAAGAGGTCCTAAATATTCAAACTTAGTTTCAAATTAAATCCAAAAAAAACCCTATCCAACAAATCTTTTCAAAACAAGTTATAATCCTTAAACTATCATTTCTTTTATTTAGTTTAAACCCTTCCAAAAAACTTCTTGAAAAAAAAAAAATAAGTCCATTATGCAAACTTGATTCCAAGCTATTTATTACAACCCCTTCCTTGGAATATGATTACAAAACGAGTCACCCTTATTAGTTATTTTAGCAAAACAAATCCTTAAAGTTAGTTAAATTACCAAATCAACCCCATACTTGGTAATTAATACCGAAATTTCCCTTTGGTTTATTAGGAAACTAAATTATCTCGGAATATCGTGTTCACGACAGTACATCCTGGTTTCTCGCATCCATTCTCGGAAACAAATCGATAATCACACTTTAAGGTGAGTGTTACGGCCCCGATTTTACATATTTGGGGGGGGGGGGAATACATGTAGTACTTGTATATCTAGTATATATCTATTTTCTAAATACTTTGTTTAAACAAACAACACCACCGTTTTTATGCAATATAAATCACACAAAAATATCATTTATTACGCTAGTACTTACGGTACAGGGAATCTGGTTTGAAGGGCCGCATGGGTTGCTGGATTTCAGAAGTGCTATAATGCCAAAATGGTCCTGTCTTCGGCGTTTCATGTCTGCGTTTCATGTCTGGCCCTCGTCTGTACATGATAGTACGTGTACTAAGTAATATTTATCATACAAAATACACAAAAAAATATCATTGTTTTGTGTAAATACTTTACCAGTTTTAGAAATAATTGTTTAAACGCTTACATGTTAAGTAAACAAAATCGTTTTAAACCTCAATAGCTACATATGTTATGTTGTTAAAGATAATACAACTAACAAAAATAACATATACGTTCCAACTAAAATTGTGCTATGACTGTATAACCAGTTATCAACTTGGTAGTTTCATTATACCTCATACATACACAAAAATATATAAGTTTATATATTTTTACGAGTTATAGAGCTCGTATGTTAGGCTCATTTATGTGCTTGTACTCAAAGTTTTATCAATTGTTTAAAAAAGTATCGTACTCTTCAATGTGTACGCTTATCAAATATACTTGTCAATTACCTGTTTATCCGTATCTGCGGTTGTTAAGTTCAACCTTGGCAGGTAACTTTATCCGTATATCCGTATGTCTGTTTATGACATAGATATATAGGTTTATACATTTATACAAGTTATAGAACTTGTATCTTAGGCTCATACATGTGCTTGTGTACACTATATTAAGTTTTTTCAACTGTTTAAACAAGTATCGTACACTTTACGTGTATGCTTATCAAATATACTTGTTGTTTATCCGTATCTGCGGTTGTTAAGTTCAACCTTGGCAGATAACTGTATCCGTATATCCGTATGTTTGTTTATCCGTATCTGCGGTTGTTGAGTACAACCTTGGCAGAAAACTTTATTCGTTACCCGTACAACCATGGATTTGGTTGCTTTCAAACACAGTTTTAAGTATGGAATTACTTATGGAACATAACGTTTTGGCTTCAAAGATTCATTACAAACACAGTTTTAAGTATGGAATTACTTATGGAACATAACGTTTTGGCTTCAAAGATTCATTACAAAAACAGTTTTAAGTATGGAATTACTTATGGAACATAAAGTTTTGGCTTTCAAAGATTCATTACAAACACAGTTTTACGTATGGGTTTACTTATACAAACTATACATTTTGGCTTTTAAAGACTCATTGCAAACACTGTTTTAACTGTTGTTATACATACAAAGATAATACTTTTTAGACTTATTAAAAGTATTACTGCATTAGCAGAAAACCTGTGACACTCACCAACCTTTGTGTTGACTTTCAAACTTAAATGTATTCTTAGGGGATCATCAGACATGCGTTGAGACAGAAGGTTAGCCGTGGATTGTAGACGACCTAGCTAGCTTGTTTTTGTTATCTGCTTACCTGTTTAAGGCAACTACTGTACTATTATTATCTGTAAGAACCCTGTATTCAAACTTAATGCTGGAATACAAATGCAGTTTTGTTTATCGTTGTACTTGTGCTATATATTCAGTTTATATGTGATTCATGAACTTAGTCCCGCTCCCGGCGTGTTCCGCCTTGGCTGGGGGTGTGACATTGATGATGCCGATATTGATTTGCAGAAAGAAGTTTTTCCAAATTGAGGATTTTGAAGTCCTACTTGCGATCTATAATGACCCAAGAACGGCTTATAGAAACGTTATAGAAAAATTTATTTCAACGAATATTAAAAGCTTGACTATTTTTAAATAAAAACATTTTTTTTGTATTATGTTAGAATGATATTTTAATTTATGTATTTTGCAATTAAAATTTGAAAAAATAAATTTTTTTGCTTAAAATTTTAAAATTTCCAAGTTTTTGGACATTTTTTTTATTAAATTGCTCAAGGCCTTCAAATTCTTGTTATTTGTTAGTTTGAAAACCTAACAATATTCATAAATAACGAAATGAAAATGAATGGAGCTCCAAATATTGGGGTCATGGGGTGAAACCAAATTATTCAATGCAATTACTATACGTGTTAGTGAGACCAAACAACAAAGTCGTGCCTTTATCACCACCAGATTCGACCACATAACTTTAATGTCATTCGTTTCGTTCTTATCAACTTCAAAATATTAGTACGAATACAAGTTATTTTAAGTAAAGAGGTATTTAATTTTGATATTCTTTGTGAAAATGGAAAATTTATGATGTGTTCGGTGTAATTTTCCGAAGCAAAAATTATTTAGGGGAAATACATAATTCTGACCAAGTCAAAATTAAAAACCTTGAAATGGTACAACCGTCAATGCAATAGTACAAACAGTTAAAGCAGTAAACTTTGAATACTCTCTATATTCCCCCTCAAATAACCACCCCACGTCCCCACGTCGACCACCCTCTCCCCTAAAACTTCAACCTCCAACACCATATAAATCCCCACCACCCTCTTCTACCCTTTCACGAGCAAAAAAATGGCTTCCGATTCCGCTTATTCTTTCGCTTCCCATACAGTTTTGCATCTTTTCTGGTTCTTTCTCCTTGCAGTCGCCGCCGTCACTACCACCGTCGGCGCTATCGAATTCCCAGTTGGTGGCGACGTTGGTTGGCGAATCCCTGCAACCAACGAAACCGAACTCTACACTGTCTGGGCTTCCAGACGAAACTTCCATATCGGCGATACCCTCCGTCTGTTCAAATCTTTTTCTCTTTTCATACAATTCTTTACACTTACTGAAATCAAGACTGATTTGGAATTTGATTTTGATTTTATGTTTGTTCACAGGTTTTCGTTACAAGAATGATTCAGTGGCCGTGGTTAAAAAATGGGGGTTCTACCACTGTAATTCTAGCTCTCCGATAGCATTCTTCAACGACGGCGACTCCGTGATCAATCTTGATAATGTGGGAACGATGTATATCATCAGCGGCGACTCTGATCGGTGTAAAGAAGGTGAGAAGATGAAGTTGGAGGTGATGGGTTCTGACCCTGGTTCTTACTTCCCGCCGTCGATTTCTAGTCCGCCGGAGAGCCCTTATTCCGACATAGCTCCGTCGCCATCTCAGTTCTCCGGTTATGGTGGTTCGCCCGCATTTAGTCCGCGTTATTCTTCGTCAAGCTCCGCGATATCGTTTTCAATTTCTTTGTTTGTGATTGCTTTGATCGTTGGTTTAGGACTGATTTTGTTATCCATTTAGTTTTCTAGGTTTTGTTATTGATTTCTTTACTCGATTTGGTTTGATTGAAGTGTTTTTAGGTCGTTTTTGAAATTCTTGATCATGTAACTGAAATTGGATTGTATTTCTGTTTGGAGTAATGCTACGAACCCGGTTTAAGGCCCAATTAGTTTGTTGTATTTTTTTTTCTTTTTTCTTTTATTATTTTGTTTACGATAATTACAATATAGTTATAAATTGAACTATAAAATGATTACATCATCTATTAAAAATATTGTATTATTCGTTTTATTGAATGAAATTTAAATATTTCTAAAGCGTATTGATATAAAATTGGTTCAATAATTTGAGCCCGGTTGAAGGCCCAATTTCTCTTACGCTCGAGTTGGTATAAGTCTAGAATATTCTATTAGACCGGAGGTTACAATCGTGATGAGGTGAGCATGACGTCATTCTTATCTTCTTAAACCCTAAAATTTTGTTATCTCATACTCACTTAACTCACACCTACTTCCTCTGCTCTCGTCTACCATTCTTCTCTCGTTGCAAATTATCAGGTAAAGCAATGTTTTCATAATCCTATCTTTTATGAATTTCAATTAATTGTGTGTTAACATTTAGGGTTTTCAACCGTTTAGAAATTCTTTTTGTGCTGTTTTTGATTTGTTTCTGTCAACAATTCTTTGTTTATCTTTGATTTCGATGTTATTCGTTCAGGTTTCTTCTTGTGAAATTGACTTGTTGATTAATGTAAACTCTGAGCCGAGGTATTTTGTGGTTTGGATTGAATTTATAACATTACCTTGGTGCTTGAATTTGAACTTTAGTCGTTTTTCAATTCACGCTTGTTTACTTTTTCAAAGATATGTCTTGTAGTCTCCGTTCTCCGGTTGTCTGTTCATGTTCTTGTCAATTTGACTATCTTTCTAATGATAAATATCCATGTGAGTTGGTAAATGCAACTCGGCTCCTGGGAGTAGTTAGGTGATTAGATTTCTTTTCTTTGTGAATCAAAATAATGATTAATATCCTTTTGTGAGTTGGTGAAAGTATTTGACATCTTGACAATTATTTGGGTAATTGGCTTATATCTTCAGTAATTGAATTATGGATGTGTCATCATTTGATTTCAAAGTCGGATACTTTTTGAGGTTCTTATATTTGAAATGTTTGTAGCTAACTGATTGAGGATTGTTAGAAGATGGCGTCTATTACTCCCTTGTCTTCCATCGGCACTTTTGGGTCAACAAACAAGGCAGTCACAAGTTCATTGGAAAGCTTGTCTTCATTTTCTTCTATATCTTCCACTCCTCTTGCACACAGAAGGCAAAATGTAGTTATGCATAGAAGAAGTACCCTAAAGGTTAATGCAATGGCCAAAGAGATTTACTTAAACAAGGACGGGTCTGCTATCAAGAAGCTGCAGGTAGCATCAAACTGACACGTTTTCACATTTGGTGATTCTTGTTGTACTTTTGCTGATATGTATATGTGCTTGTGTGTAGGCTGGTGTCAACAAGCTTGCAGATCTTGTAGGAGTTACTCTAGGTCCAAAAGGGCGAAATGTAGTGTTGGAAAGCAAGTATGGTTCTCCAAAAATTGTAAATGATGGTGTCACCGTGGCTAAAGAGGTATATTTTTCATAGTTTATGATCTTAAATCAATATTTGTTTTTGTTTCTACATGTTTCTTGACTTTAAAAATTACCCTTTTTTTTTTCTTTTCAATTTAGGTTGAATTGGAAGATCCTGTTGAGAACATTGGTGCCAAGCTGGTGAGACAAGCAGCTTCAAAGACAAATGATTTGGCTGGTGATGGGACAACAACATCAGTTGTTTTAGCACAAGGCTTAATAACAGAGGGCGTTAAGGTAATTTGTTGATACTTGATACTTCAACTAAATTTAATTTAGTGTTCTTCATACACTCATCAAGATGTTAATGTTATTCATTAGGTGGTGGCAGCAGGCGCTAACCCAATTCAGATAACAAGAGGCATTGAAAAAACCACTAAAGCCCTTGTTGAAGAACTCAAAAAGATGTCAAAAGAAGTGAGTTTGTCTTTGTCTTTGTCTTCGTCTTTATTATGAGACCAAAAAAACATGTAATTGTTTAATGTTTTTCTAATGGTATGTTAAAAATCACAGGTTACAGATAGTGAGCTGGCAGATGTGGCAGCAGTAAGTGCAGGAAACAATGAAGAAGTAGGGCAAATGATTGCTGAAGCAATGAGTAAAGTTGGAAGAAAAGGTGTTGTCACTCTTGAAGAAGGAAAGAGTGCTGAAAACCACTTATATGTAGTTGAAGGCATGCAATTTGATCGTGGTTACCTCTCTCCATACTTTGTTACCGATAGTGAGAAAATGTCAGTTGAGTTTGAAAACTGCAAGGTAATAATAATAATATACTATTATATTATATAAAATATCTTTCTTATCACACAATTGTTCCTATCTTTGTATTCTAATTCAATCTTTCATGGAGTTTTGTAGTTGCTTCTTGTTGATAAAAAGGTAACAAACGCAAGAGATTTAGTTGGTGTTTTGGAAGATGCCATAAAGGGAGGGTACCCGATTTTAATCATAGCAGAAGATGTTGAACAAGAAGCCCTTGCTACCCTTGTTGTCAACAAACTAAGAGGTTCATTAAAGATTGCTGCTCTTAAGGCACCTGGTTTTGGTGACAGAAAAAGTCAATATCTTGATGATATTGCTATTCTTACTGGAGGCAAGTATTTCATAATAAAGGGTTTTGGTTGAAATCTGTCTTCCGACTATTTGTTATGTCCACATTTGGTCCCTAAACTTTTTAAATTTCTATTGCATACAGGAACTGTAATTAGAGAGGAGGTAGGATTGACCCTTGAGAATGCTGGAAGTGAGGTTCTAGGGCTTGCTGCAAAAGTGGTGTTGACCAAAGACACAACCACCATTGTTGGTGATGGAAGCACACAGGAGTTGGTGAACAGACGGGTGGCTCAAATTAGAAACCTTGTTGAGGCAGCAGAACAAGATTATGAAAAAGAAAAATTAAATGAAAGAATTGCAAAATTATCCGGTGGGGTGGCTGTTATTCAAGTTGGAGCACAAACTGAAACTGAACTTAAAGAAAAGAAACTTAGAGTAGAGGATGCTCTCAATGCAACAAAGGTTATAATCCCTACAATCATCTATTCTTAAATTCTTACATTTTAAGTTGTTTTAATGTTGAAAAATGGTGACATGATAATATGATATGATACAGGCGGCTGTTGAGGAAGGGATTGTGGTTGGGGGTGGGTGCACATTGTTGCGCCTTGCTGCTAAAGTGGATGCCATTAAAGAGACTCTTGAGAATGATGAACAGAAAGTGGGAGCTGAAATTGTGAAAAGGGCACTTGGGTACCCGATGAAGTTGATTGCTAAAAATGCGGGTGTTAATGGAAGTGTGGTGATTGAGAAGGTAGATTTTTTTTTTGTTTATGTTAAGAGTGTTTGAGTATTGAATGTGTGGATTTGTTTTGTATTTTAAAATAGGTTTTGGCCAGTGATAATTATAAGTTTGGGTATAATGCTGCAACCGGGAAATATGAAGATTTGATGGCAGCTGGTATTATTGATCCCACAAAGGTAAGTTTTGTGTGTGTGTGTGTGTGTGTGTTTTTTTTTTTTAAAAAAAAAAGAAAAAATTGAAATTCATTGAATGATATGAATGAATGAATGATGTATGTATGTGTAGGTGGTGAGATGTTGTTTGGAGCATGCATCGTCAGTTGCAAAGACATTCCTTACATCAGATGCTGTGGTGGTTGAAATCAAGGAGCCGGAACCAATGGTTGCTGGAAACCCCATGGACAACTCAGGTTATGGTTACTGAGGTGGTGGTGACATGAAGAAGAATTTGGTGCAGATGCTAATTGCTAATGCTAATGCTACTCTTGTCTCTGTTTTCTTTGTAAAACCTTCTGAAGAAGATTTTTATTACATACATTTGTATGTTTTCCTCCCTTTTCCCATTCTGTTTAGAGGTTGTTAGGTGGGTTAAATTTTGGCGGAAATGGTATCAATCATCTACATTTGTATTCGAGTTGAGAAATCAATAAAAATAGTAGCATTTCATTGCATGTATGTATATCAGATCGGACTTGACAAGGGCAATTACATCTTTTGCATAAACGAGAGATTGTTTGTTGCATGAGATTGGGACTGGATCATCTTTTGTGTATTGGAGAGATCGCAACGTCCTTGTTCCATATTTTTTTGGGCGAGATGGAAAATTTACAATTTTTTATCATGTTGACAAGGCCTTGGGGACAAGAGAAACATGTTTTGGGGTCGCACCATATCTAGGAATTGTTGTATGAGATTGAACTAAACTTGACAGATATATATTTTTGCATAGACGAGAGATTGATAAAATAATAGTTGTTTTCGGATAGTAACATAGTATTCCCTAGAAAAAAAGTGAGAATATAAGGAGAGAAGATAAGTCATAAGGGAGGACAATGGAAGAATATACTCTGTTTTCATGTTCCTACATTAGAAAAGAGGGGTGGAATAAAATCCGGGTCCAGACAGATTTACTTTCAAGTTCATAAAGGAGTATTGGGAGGTGTTCGAAGACGATATCTTTAATTACTTGAAGAAGTTTGAAAACTCGGGGACGATTAGTAAATGCTATAATGCCTCATTTATCTCTCTAATTCTTAGAAGTTTTAATCCTTTATACTTCAAAGATTATAAGCCAATTAAGCTAAATCGGTGCATGTACAAAATTCTCTCTAAGATTCTTTCTTTGAGACTTAGACGATTATTGGTCAAGAACAATCGGCATATGTGGAAGGTCGTGACATTCTTGATGGTCCGCTTATGATTAATAAACTTTATATGTGGGCCAAAAAGGCAAACAAGCAAATTCTTATTTTTAAGGTGAATTTTGATAAGGCGTTTGACTCTCTTAATTGGATTTACTTGGACTCGATATTGGAGCAAATGAATTTCAGTTGTAAGTGGAGAAAATGGATAAATAGGTTAGTTAGGTTGCGATTAAAATTAATTGTTTTATTTGGTGTGTGATTTCCAATAAGGTTTCAGTGGCTAAAAATCTTGTTAATAGAGGTGTTAATTTGGAGTTGGTGACTTATTCTTTTGTCACATGAATGATGAGGAGTTTGATCATACTTTTTTTAAGTGAAACTTTTCAACACAAATCTTAAGTTGGTTTATCAAATGGAGTGTGCTGTTAGCTTCGATTCCTGGGGATAGATTGGAATTGCTAACGGTGTTGGCAACCCCACTTTCTGATAAGAAGAAAAAACTCAAACCGGTTAGAAATTGGGTAGGGTTACAGTGGTGGAGATCTGGATACCTCTTGGATCATGTAAACACTTTCTGAACTGATATTTCTAACCTATGCCCGAGTTATAAGAAACTCAGCCTAGGATAATCCTAAGGGGACATTTACGAATCTAGGCACAGAAAACGTAAGCCAAGTTGCTGGAAGATTCTGAGTTCTTGTGAAGAAAAAGAGATCTAAAAAGTGATATTTTCTCCTCAAGAGGAAAGTCGTTTATATAGAAAACGAGATTGTAGGGTTTTCTTTTAGGGTTGACCGTCATGGGTTCCTTTAGAAACAAGTAAAAGGAATCCGAAATTAATGAGGAAATCGATGGTTTTCAAAACTGACGATCTTAGTCAGTTTTACCATAATCCCCCTCAATAATTCTATTTTCCCACTATGTATCCACTTGTAAAATCCGAAGAGCTTTTGGGGCACTACCCCTCGACCCCGCCCGCTGACCTGGCACCGGGACCCTGACTCTGCCCCTTGGACCCTACTAGGGGTGCTACCCTTAGACCCCGCCAAAGGGGCGCTGCCCCCGGACCTCGACTCCTCGTCGTACCGACTTCTAATTTGATCTTATACATGTGTGCACTCCACACAAACCCAAACATATATTAGAGTACGAATTACGAAGTCTCTTAGCTCACATGTAAGTTCCAATTACACAAAATGACCTGGTGACACTAAAATCACCAACAAAACTTACCCTCATGCACTCTGTGATTTGGTCAATCCGGAAGACGCGAAATTCTTTGATGTTCAACAAAAATAGATGCCCTCCCTTAAAATTGGAGGATGATATCCAATTAGTTTTGTATAATTGGATTAAGCATAGATTTTCTTTTAATTTCATTAGTTGGTTT